TCCCTCCCTCCCTCCCTCCCTCCCTCTCTCTCCCTCTCGTCCTTGACAGAAGTAAGAATAATCCTAAATATTTATTGGGGAATCAGATTTGGAGAGGCTAAGCTAACCTTTTAAAAATATTTTTTTAATGTCTTTATTTTTACTGTAGAATCATAATGTTTAAAGACACTTTAAACAATACAAAATGCAAGGGAGAAGAGAAGAAGGGAAAGAAAAAAATCTACCTTATGTTATTCACTTGTCAATAGTCATTGGTTCACCAATGACTATTGACTACTATAATATAAACAATACATTATTGTGATCTGCCGTAATAGCACATATTGCTGCATCTTTTGATTAGTAAAAAATATTACCTTTTCAAAAAAAGAAAAGGTAGGTCATACATTTCCAAAACCAATTTCTTGACATCTGGCTTATTTTATTTCAAAAAGTTCATCCCTGCAGTGATTGAAAAAATGTTCACTTCAATTTTTAAGTATCTCCAGTTCACTTTTATACCCAAATTCTTAAACTATGGTTTATGGAAACAAGGCAGCTTTATAATCTTCAGACTGAAGTTTGCTTCTTTCATGAGACTATTATAAATGCCAGCTATGCTACTAGGGACAGAACACCAGATATGGTCCCAGGTCCCTCTGGGTTTATCACTGAAATGATGAACAAAGACCAGCTGCATTTGGTATGTGTACTTTGTCAGATGAGCTGGCAGTCAGGCCCAGATCACTGTAAAGTATAGTATACTTCCTTAGCCTGTCAGTGACCAGTCAGATACAGATAGTCTTTGACTTATGATTGTAACTGAGCCTGGCAACTGCAGTCATAAAAATTGTAAAGCAAGTCATCATGTAACTGACCCAATTTTATGAACTTCTTTTTGTGGAGGTCATTAAGTGGACATGACAGTCATTAAGCAAACCCATATGTTCATTAGGTAAAGGTAAAGGTTCCCCTTGCACATATGTGCTAGTCGTTCCCGACTCTAGGGGGCAGTGCTCATCTCCATTTCAAAGCCNACCGCGTCCCTCAAACAGCTAAAAGGACACCATAAAAAAGAGATCACTTGCTATTGGAAGACACAAAATACTGTAGACTTGTAAATGGATAGTATCCAAACAATACACTGCAGCATGGAATTTGCAAGCACAAAGGAAACACAATATTTTAAGAGCTACAGTTTATTAAATGAAAGCCATCAGTTCAGAAATGACTTTTGTTCAGAACTGTGATATACTGTATGAATGTTTTTTCTCTCTTGTCTCCTATTTTTATTTATTGCTTATATATGAATTCCTCACCCTATCTTGAAATGTTTAGCAGGACTGAAGTACTGAACTGATTTTGAGTACTCAGAAAATTAAGCAAGACCGAATCTCTTCAGTAATTGGATTGGAGAATCCTAAACTTTAGTCTGGACTAGAAAGTGGGAAAAAGACTCCAGAAGGTGGTAATGGCAAATCACTTTTGCACTGTTGGTAAGAAAACCACATTAATATATTCATGAAGTCAAAAGAATTGAAACTGACTTGGAGACATTAGTTTTAATTTGAAATATCTTGTAATGTATATATTTGTAATACATTAAAAACAGAATATTTGATTTATTATCATTGTTGTTTGTTTGTTGTTATTGTTATTATTAATCCTTATGTGAATTTCCTAGGTATGCTCTATATCCATGATATTGTTTGGAAGTTAATTTTTGATCTCTTATAAAGATTCTTATTAGGATATTGTATTTTTCCCCCTACACAAAATCAGTTGTCAGCTTGATTTTGAGAAAGACTGAGATAATGGAAACATCCCGTTTTCCGACATCTTTATCCCCTAACATGTCAAAAACATACAAAGAGAGTCATTAAAATGTAGACCCATAAAAACTTGTCAGGAATATTCTAAATTGAAGTGAGTTTAAAGCCCCTGAAGACAGTCAGCTAATTAAAAGTCAGGTAGCTTCTAGCTGATAGATTTACAGAACTAGAACAACAACTGTAATTTTAGAGATATTTAGTCCCCCCTCCTATTTAATATCTACATGAAGCGTGAGATCATTCGTCGGCACAGGATTAAATACCATCAATATGTGGATGATACACAGTTGTATCTCTCCGCCCCGTGCCAGCTCAGCGTAGCGGTGGAAGTGATGTGCCAGTGCCTGGAAGCTGTCAGGGTCTGCATGGGAGGGAACAAACTTCCACTCAATCCTGATAAGACCAAGTGGCTGTGGATGTTGCCCCCCAAGGACAGCCCAGATAGTCTATCCCTAAACCTGAGGGGGTGAAATGTTACACCCCTCAGAGAGGGTCCACAACTTGGGGGTCCTCCTGGATCCACAGCTGACATTAGAACATCACTTGTCGGCTGTGACCAGGGGGCCTTTGC